TCGAGTTGCCCCTTTGGGCCATATTTTTATCAGTTAAGTTGTTTATGTCTTTGCATGGCATTGAGTTATTCTATTGAGTCAGGTTTCCGCTGAATTAAGAAAGCCAGGCCAAGGGTTCGCTTGGGGCCAGCAATGGTCTCCGAGTGCCGGTCCCGCCCAGGGTGTAGGCTCGGGGCGTGACAGATTGATTCTCAGGTTTCTCAGGATCAGAATCAAGTTCCATTAGTACAGTATATTCCCAATCATATTGTTGTGACCAGAAGATCCAACAGGCCTGCTAAGCCTCTTATCTGGCATACAAACTACATATTAACAAAGAAGAAGGCCACTTCTGGAGATTGCTCAAACTCCATTGCTAATGTAATAGACTATCAAAGAATCTCACCAGCTTATAGAAGTTATGTGACTAAGTTCTCTCAGGAAGGGGAACCATTTTCATATAAGGAGGCCCTACATGATTCTAGGTGGATTCAAGCTATGAAAGATGAGATACACTCACTGGAAAATAATAACACATGGGAGATTGTTGAGTTGCCTAAGGACAAGAGGGCCATAGGATGTAAATGGGTATACAAAATAAAGTATAAGGCTGATGGTGAGGTTGATAGGTTCAAAGCTAGATTAGTAGCCAAAGGTTACAATCAAAAGGAAGGGCTGGACTTTCAAGAAACTTTCCCACCTGTAGTAAAAATGGAAAATGTCAGGGTTGTCATAAGTTTGGCTGCTGCACATCATTGGCAAATCCATCATATGGATGTGTTCAATGCATTTCTTCAAGGAGATTTGAATGAAGATGTATACATGGAGTTACCTCTGGGATTTGTTCACCAAGGGGAGAAGGGGATAGTGTGCAAGTTCATCAAGTCACTCTATGGACTCAAACAAGCTAGCAGACAATGAAATATTAAACTAACCACAACCAAGCACGAAAGACAGAGTTTAGTGATGGTGTTGATATATGTTGATGACTTACTTGTTATAGGGAATGATCACAAGTTGATATTGGAAACAAAAGATATTCTCAAGGATAGGTTCAAGATTAAAGACTTGGGTGAATTGAGATATTTTTTGGGAATTGAGATATTTTTTGGGAATTGAGTTTGCCAGAATGAATCAGGGATCCTTATGCATCAAAGGAAATATTGTCTTGAGCTAATCTCAGACATGGGATTGTCCAACTCAAAGACAGTTGGAGCTCCTATTGAGCTGAATCAGAAGCTCACAACTACAGAGTTTGACTTACATTTTTCTATTGGTAATGGAGATGATAGGGTGCTGGATGATCCTAGTGTGTATCAGAAGTTGGTGGGAAGGTTGTTTTACCTAACAATAATAAGACCAAACATAGCCTTTGCAGTACATCTCCTAAGCCAATTCATGCACAGCCCTAAAACATCTCATATGGAAGCAACAATGAGGGTAGTAAGATATGTCAAATAAGCACCAGGATTGGAAATACTTATGACAGTCAATACAACTAACCAGTTAATTGCATACTGTGATGCAGATTGGGCTGCATGTCCAAACAACAGGAAATCAATCTCTGGTTACATGGTTACATATGGAGATTCTTTGATCTCATGAAAGTAAAAAAAGCAGGACACAATTTCAAGAAGCTCAGCTGAATCTGACTATAGGAGTTTTGCTTCAACAGTTGCAGAAATTATATGGCTGGTTGGTCTCTTTAAGGAGTTAGGGGTGGAACTAAAGTTGCCAGTGCCTATATATAGTGACAGCAAATCCACCATACATATTGCAGCTAATCCAGTTTTCCATGAACGAACCAAACACATAGACATCGACTGTTATTTCATAAGGGAAAAGGTACAACTGGGAATGGTTTAGCCTATGTATCTGAAGACAACAGAACAGCCTGCAGATTTATTCACTAAGGGACTCACTCATCTACAACACACATATTTGCTTACCAAGCTAGGAATGAAGAATGTTTTCCATACTCCTAGCTTGAGGGAGGATGTTGAGCAACTAGTTAAATGTACAAGTGTTGATTAGTTAGAAGTTAGTTATAATAAATTGACAAACTGTGAGTCACTGTTAGTTAGTCACTGTTAGTTAGTTAGTATCATTATTTTTCCCTTCTATATAAATAGATAACTTGTAACAGATTTCATTTGATTTTTCAATACAATTTTCCTCTTTCATTTTCATAGATCTTAACATTAACTCCCGGACATACGTTTTTATGCCTAGGACTTACGTTTTTACGCTTGAAGCTTACGCCCTAAATTCTAGGACTTGCGCCTTGTGGATCTACGTCTTCAATTTCTGCCCCGAAGCATTTTTAGTAAGCCTCGCCCCGAGACTCGCCCCCAATTTTTTTTTGAAAACACTCAAAATAAGTATATAAAACTTAAATGAATCCTCAATGCAAAAAGCGAAAGCTCACCCAACTCAAGAAAGGATAAGAGATTAAATTTTTTTATCTAAACCACCCTTTGGCTATTTGTGAGACTATAAATCATTTCATTAAAGAGTAAATGAATAGCTTAAAGTTAAATTATTTTCAATTATAGAAGGTCACATCCTTATGGAATGGACTTATAAAAAGAAAAGAGTGTCACATGAATTGAAATAAGGAAATAGTTAATCTTTATGGAATAACATATAATTTCAAGTACTTTGTTTAAGAAATGATTGTATATGATTTATGAAGGGAAATTTTTTCATAGTTCGAGTTGTAATTGTTTTACCATTAAATTAAATTATATCGTATTTTCAATATTTCCAGAGGATTGTTTATTTCAATAGAATACAAGTTCTTTTTATTGAGAGTTGTAGTTTTCATCTTTTCTTCCAGCAATTGCCAATTTGTTCACTTACTATTAATAACAAAACCCTGCAATATAACAACCATCACATACTTCAAAAATAGGTAACTAAGGATTATATTTTTGATATATTACGCAAAAGAATCGATGCAATTTGTCTAATCTATTATAATTTAAAAGAAGGAAAAAAAACGATTTCTATTGTTATAAACATATAATTCCTGGGAAATAAAAGAAATAAAGTGAATTAAGTAGTGAATCATTTTAATCAGATAAAAAGAAACTCGGAAATAAATGTTACACTACTTAAGATAAAATATCACGGATTTTTCATAAGCCCTTCAATATTTTAATCATTTAGTGATTGTTTAGGTGCATTTGATCTATATTGCAGAAGTTTTGAGCTCAAAGTATGAATTCTTTTAATTATATCTGCCAACACTTTTTCAGTTGATTTGTCACAACGGAATTGCTCAAAGCAGCTTACATCTCAGGTATGATTTGCAAGAAATTGCACATGGTGCACCCGAAAAATAGCAATGGTGAATTACTGATTTTTTTTTTTTTAAAAAGAGAGTTAAGTACAATACCATGATGTGGATTATAAGTTGTGCTCAACAAGTACATATAATTAATCGACATCAAATAATGAACAATATTTGTTAAGCCTACACATATCTAAGCTTTTAAAAAATAATTTTATCAAATTTTCAATATACCAACCAAAAAAAAAAAAACAACATTCTTGCAAGTCAACAAATTATTGGATTAAAAATTTAAAAATAGGTGAGTCAAGCAAATGTGTATGAATTGTTTATGGCTTCCCATTATCTCAAAACCTTAGTGGAACAGCAATAACCAAAAAACGGCAAAATCTTTGATATGTTTGGATTATTTAATTTTTAAATCATCAAATCACCATCTTAGTTATGTTATATAAACTCCTAATTCCTCCATTCTAAAACACACAAGAAAAAGAAAAACAACCAAATATCTAGCCTTAGAATCCAATTCTTCTCAATAGGAAGCCAAATGAAGAAGCAATGGCTTCAATTTGCTTGTGCTTTGGCATTTTTCTTGATTGCCACATGCACTATGGCTTATTCACCTTATAATTCTTATGAATCATCAGATTCAACATATAATAAAGTACCAAACACAGTAGTCAAAAGTGAAGACTTCAAGGTACCCTCAGAGTCAGAAAAGGAATATGAGTCGTCATTTTTGTCAAAAAATGATTACAATAAGAACCCATCAGTTTCAGAAGATAACTATAAGAAAGTACCCATTGTTCCCGAACATGAATCGTTCTTGCCAAAGAATGACTACTACAAGACGCCATCATTTTCAGAAGATAACTACAAAAAAGAGTCATATGTTCCAAAGGTACCCTCGATGACTAAACCAAAATATAAGGAGTCATTTTTGCCAAAATTTGACTACTTTAAGAAGCCATCATTTTCAGAAGACAGCTACATGAAGACGTCATATGTTCCAGAGGTACCTTCGATGGCTAAACCAAAATATAAAGAGTCATTTTTTCCAAAATTTGACTACTTCAAGAAGCCATCAGTTTCAGAAGATAACTACAAGAAGTTGTCATATGTTCCAGAGGTACCCTCGATGGCTAAACCAGAATATAAGGAGTCATTTTTTCCAAAATTTGACTACTTCAAGAAGCCATCAGTTTCAGAAGATAACTACAAGAAGTTGTCATATGTTCCAGAGGTACCCTCGATGGCTAAACCAGAATATAAGGAGTCATTTTTTCCAAAATTTGACTACTTCAAGAAGCCATCAGTTTCAGAAGATAACTACAAGAAGTTGTCATATGTTCCAGAGGTACCCTCGATGGCTAAACCAGAATATAAGGAGTCATTTTTTCCAAAATTTGACTACAAGAAGCCATTAGTTCCAAAAGATAACTTCAAGAAGGCGTCATATGTTCCAGAGGTACCCACAGAGCCTAAACCGGAATACAAGGTACCATCTTTGCCAAAGAATGACTACTATAAGAAGCCATCATTTCCAGAAGATAATTACAAAAAAGGTATCATATGTTCCAAAGGTGCCCTCAGTGCCTAAAGAAGAATACAAGGTACCTTCTTTGCCAAAGAATGATTACTACAAGAAGCCATCAGTTCCAGAAGATAACTACAATAAGGTACTATTTGTTCCAAAGGTGCCCTCAATGACTAAAGAAGAATACAAGGTGCCTTCTTTGCAAAAAACTGACTACTACAAGAAGCCATTAGTTTCAGAAGAGAACTACAGAAAGGTTTCATATGTTTCAAAGGTGCCCTCAGTGCCTAAAGAAGAATACAAGGTACCTGCTTTGCCAAAGAATGATTACTACAAGAATCCATCACTTCCAGAAGAAAACTACAAAAAGGTACCAATTGTTCCAAAGGTGCCCTCAGTGCAAAATGACTACTACAAGAAGCCATCAGTTTCAGAAGATAACTACAAAAAAGTGTCATATGTTCCAAAGGTGCCCTCAGTGCCTAAAGAAGAATACAAGGTGCCTTCTTTGTCAAATAATGACTACTACAAGAAGCCATCACCTTCTCCATCACCACCACCTCCATATTATTAAATTTCCATATTTCATGTTGAACATGGATGTTTCATTTAAGTCCTTCTCCAGCTCAACATATATAACGCATAGGGTTTTCATATTATGAGTTAGAAGGCATGATATCAAAATTTGTATTTATTTATTTATTTTTCCTTTTCCTGCTCCGGCTTGTAATTGTTTTGTCATTTAAATTCTATATTTTGAACGAAAAATTTATTTCAATTGAATACAAGTTCTTTTTATTGAGAGTTTATGTAGTTTTCATCTATTCTTCCATCAATTGCCAATTTGTTCACTTACTATTAATAACAAAACTCTCGAACATAACGACAATCAGATAATATTTCAAAATAGGTCACTAAGGATTATATTGGGTGAATTTTCTGATATAGTACTCAAAAGAATCGATACAATTCGTTTAATCTATTAGAACTGGAAAGAAGAAAAAATGATCTCTATTGTTATAAACATACAATTCTTGGGAGATAAGAAATAAAGCGAACCATTTCAATCATATAAAGAAAAACTCGACCATAAATATAACACTACTTGAGATAAATTGTCACAAATTTTTCATTAGCCCTTCAATATTTAATCATTTAGTTATTGTTTAGGTGCATTTGATCAATATTGCAGAAGTTCTTTGCTCAAAGTACGAAATTTATTAAAGCCAGAACTTCTAAAATATTTTGAGATTTTTTTTTTTAGAAAAAAAAGTCAATCGACTAAATTATCTTTGTGGTAGGGTTCGATCCTAGGGAATATTGAAGTAATATCTCATAGAACACTCTTTTTTCTTAAAAATAGATCATACACTACGCAAATTTGAATTATTGGAGTTAATAACCAAAAACATTAAATATATGACAATAAAAACAATAGCTACTAATATTCCCTGTTTGTATTAAGAACTAAACAAACCCAAAATATTGTCATTCTTGGTAATGAGAAGTATTCAGGCTACTCGCAAGGATAATAAAGGCCAGAGATCAATTTCTTGTGACTCACAACGTGCTTGCTAAAGCAGCTTACATCTCATGTATGATTTGTAAGATATTGCAAATAAGCGGATTTATTCAGTGTGCATCTAGAGAGTAGCAACTGCGAATTACTCCGATTTTTTTATATAAAAAAAGTAAGTGTGGTGCCATGATGTGGATTATAACTCGTGCACAACAAGTACATATAATTAATGGACACCAAATAATGAACAATATTTGTTAGGCCTACACATATCTAAACTTTTAAAAACTAATTAATTTAATCAAATTTTCACTATACCAACAAAAAAAAAACAAGAACAACATTCTTGGAAGTCAATAAAAAATTGGATTAAATTTTAAAAATAGGTGAGTCAAGCAAATGTGTATGAATTGTTTATGGCTTCCCATTATCTCAAAACCTTAGTGGAACAGCATTAACCAAAAAATGGCAAAATCTTTGATATGCTTGGATTATTTAATTTTGAGAGAATCCAAAATCATCAAATCACTATCTTAGTTATGCTATATAAACTCCTAATTCCTCCATTCTAAAACACACAAGAAAAAGAAAAACAAAGAAATATCTAGCCTTAGAATCCAATCCTTCTGAATGGGAAGCCAAATGAAGAAGCAATGGCTTCAATTTGCTTGTGCTTTGATATTTTTCTTGATTGCCACATGCACTATGGCATATTCACCTTATAATTCTTATGAATAATCAGATTCAACATACTATAAAGTACCAAACACAATAATCAAAAGTGAAAACTTCAAGGTACCCTCAGAGTCAGAAAAGGAATATAAGTCGTCATTTTTGCCAAAAAATGATTACTACAAGAAGCCATTAGCTTTAGAAGATAACTATAAGAAAATACCCTTTGTTCCCGAACATGAATCACTCTTGCCAAAGAATGACTACTACAAGAAGCCATCATTTTCAGAATATAACTACAAGAAGGAGTCATATGTTCCAGAGGTACCCTCAATGGCTAAACCAGAATATAAGGAGACATTTTTTCCAAAATTTGACTACTTCAAGAAGTCATCAGCTTCAGAAGATAACTACAAGAAGGAGTCGTATGTTCCAGAGGTACCCTCGATGGCTAAACCAGAATATAAAGAGACATTTTTTCCAAAATTTGACTACTTCAAGAAGCCATCAGTTTCAGAAGATAACTACAAGAAGGCGTCATATGTTTCAGAGGTACCCTCGATGGCTAAACCAAAATACAAGGAGTCATTTTTTCCAAATTTTGACTACTTTAAGAAGTCATTAGTCCCAGAAGATAACTACAAGAAGGCATCATATGTTCCAGAGGTACCTACAAAGCTTAAACCGGAATACAAGGTACCATCCTTGCCAAAGAATGACTACTATAAGAAGCCATTAGTTCCAAAAGATAGCTACAAAAAGGTGTCATATGTTCCAAAGGTGCCCCCAATGCCTAAAGAAGAATACAAGGTGCCTTCTTTGACAAAGAATAATTACTACAAGAAGTCATCAATTCCAAAAGATAACTACAAAAAAGTATCATTTGTTCCAAAGGTGCCCTCAGTGCCTAAAGAAGAATACAAGGTGCCTTCTTTGCCAAGAAAAATTCACTACAAGAAGCCATCAGTTTCAGAAGATAGCTACCAAAAAGGTGTCATATGTTCCCAAGGTTCCCTCAGTACCTAAAGAAGAATACAAGGTGCCTTCTTTGCCAAAGAATGACTACTACAAGAAGCCATCACCTTCTCCATCACCACCACCTCCATATTATTAAATTTCCATCTTTCATGTTCAACATGCATATTTCATTGAAGTCCTTCTCGAGCTCAAAGATATATAACCCATAGGGTTCTCAAATTTATGAGTTAGAAGGCATGATATCAAAATTGTAATTCTTATTTATTTATTTATTTTTCCTTTTCCTACTTAGGTTTGTAATTGTTTTGTCATTTAAATTCTATATTTGAATGTTAAGAGAAATATTTTTCAATCGAATACAAGTTCCTTTTATTGAAAGGTTATATAATTAGTATATAGATTCATCTGGATTAGTCGGACTCCAATGCATAAGAGGTGGCTCACAAAATATGTCAAAGTATGACAGGTACATTAAAGACATAATTTCATCATTGCTAATAAGAGGTGGCTCACAAAACATATCATAGTTGCACACCGAGAACTCAACATGCTGCCTACTAAACTAAAAGATCCTATGAGCTTGTCATTGAGCCAGTTCTATGTCTCATTTATTTTGAGACATCCATCCATTCTTAGCTACATGAAGGGTGTTGATTAATATAGCAGTGGGATAGTTGACAATGAAGTCTCATGATAAGGTTGAAGCGTTTTTGATGTATAGATAGCTCTCAAAATACCGATATTTTATATGAGGAGTTGTTTACTAACGAGACACATCAAAATTAAATTAAACACACCAAACTTGTTACTGAATTAAATTAAAGAGCTCCGATCCATCAATTTTTAGAAGGATTATGAATTAATTTCCGCTACCAGCCAAGAAGCACCAACACCACCAAGCAAACCTCCAGACCTTACAATACCAATACGTCTGTCACGCCCCGAGCCTATACTTGGGCGGGACCGGCACTCGGAGACCATTGCTGGCCCCAAGCGAACCCTTGGCGTGGCTTTCTTAACTCAGCGGAAACTTAACTCAACAGCATAACTCAATGTAATGAAAGGTTATGAAACAACCAACTGATAAAATCTAGCCAAAAAGGCAACTCGAGTCTCAAAATAGAATATTTACATATATACATAGATGAGAGACTCAATACTAACTGACTGACTGTCTATGAAGCCTCTAAAATACTGAGATGGATGTTGGGACAGACCCCGCAACATCTTAATAAAACAAAACTAAGGGAACAAAATATCTGAGTCCTCCGGAAAGCAAGGAGGCTCACCACTGACTCTGGAGTGCTCAACTGGATCAACGGCGTGCTGGATGCTGATCCTGGGTACTTGTGTCTGCATCGTCATAAGATGCAGGCCAACTGGCATCAGTACATGGAATGTACGAGTATGCGAGCTGGAAAGCTAAACCACAACTTGAGCTTGAAATGGATACAAAAGAGAACTTACCCTGACTCTGTTCAACTCATGAATAACTTAACTCAATATAAAGCAATGAGACACATGCAATATATATATAAATCTTATAAAACTATTCAAAACATGACGTAAAAATCATATCTATAATATCATGAAAATACCATGCTTCCTCTCAAAGTCTACTTGTGCAATGCATGAATAGAGTCCCATACCCCCATCCATACTAAGCAGAAACCTCGAGGAACCATGCTCTTTCTACTGTGGGAGCTTCTCTAACCGACAA